GGGTCAGCCCCATCATTTGTACAATTTTGAATCCCCACCACCTAGGGATGCTTCTAGTCAAATATGGTTGATATCCACTTTTTAGTTCCAGAGAAGTAGTCGCTTTAAGCAATATAGCCAAATTGACCCCTTTTAGCCCTGCCCCTCAGCCCCCTGGGGGGTCAGCCCCATCATTTGTACAATTTTGAATCCCCACCACCTAGGGATGCTTCCAGTCAAATTTAGTTAAATTCCAATCAGTGGTTAAGAAGAAGAAGTCGTTTAAAGAAATTGTTGACGTACGGACGGACAGACGGACGCAACGGTATGGCATAAGCTCACCTTGGTCCTTCGGACCAGGTGAGCTAAAAAAGTTAGCTTTATACTGAACGCCTATGTTACAGAAACATCTAGAAGACAGAAGGGTAAGTAAACAAGTGAAATATGTAGTCCCTTCTGTCATTAAAGCAACATCTGTACACAAAATCATACACACCACTCTCAAACACTTAACACAAAATACGTCGTAAACATACCTTACATACACAAACAACTGCTTCCATGCATACATAAAATGGTGGAAGTGTTGAGAAAAATTACCAACATTGCCCTGACCAGAAAAATGGTGAGTGGGATTGTCAAGGGATTCTGGAACCTTCAAATCATTCAAATTTTGTTCTCTAAAACTAGAAATAGATTATTTTTTTGTATTTTTAATTTTATTGCACCTGGAACAAACGGACACGCCTCCCATCATTACCTGGATATGTCACTTTGAAGACATGCTGGAAAGACAGATTGCATTAATCAAATCAACTGGAATTAAGTAGGTGCTTGAAGACAACTTGACAGTCTGTCAATCACTATAGGACATGCAGGTAACAATTAAGAACATACATATCAGTATCAGCTCAATCACGATGTGTGAATCTCACTAGTAAATAACAAGTTAATTAACCCTTTCACCACTACGTAAAATAATGGACTCATCCAGATCAAGGCATGGGAGAGTCTACTAAAGTTGCAAAGGGTTGAAAGGGTTAAATAAAAAAAACATTGGTGGTGATACCAAACATATGCACGATATTTTTCTAGGGTACTCGACAGAGTCCAAATTGACAAGTTTTTGTGGGTTGGGTATGATACTGCATGCTTGCAAGCAATGATTTAAGAGTAACACTTCCTCATTCAAATCTCTGGTGGTCGATTTTCATTTTTCAAATGATTACCATATGGGAATTAACTAAATTCAGGTGCACGCAAATTGATTGATACTGATTAACAAATTGTAATGAAGGTAAGGATAAAATACAAATATATATTGTATTTTTTATATATACTAGTTTATACCAAATGAAGGTTAAATGTTATACTGACACAACACAAAGGTAATGCCATAGTCATATAAAATATTGTACATCATTGTTTGTACCTAAATGTTGCAACATTTATAGAATACACACTACACATTACAGTTAATATGGGTGTAGCAGATCAATTTTAGTCACTTCAATGTCTCCTTAGCACAGAAGAACACCACAACCCCTCCCACACCCCGACCCCTCCCCGACCCCCGGGAACCCTACAATCGTTCCTTTTACTTCATGTAATGAGATATAAAGTGATTAACAAAGAGAATAACAAGTGTTAGTTTTTGTTTGTGTAGGAGGCTATATTCTTACACTTGTCTACTGTTTTGTCGAGTACACTGGACAACAGGGTAATATGGGGCGTTTAAGATGCCGACTGCATGTGTGCTAGACAACAGGGTAGTATGGGGTGTTTAAGATGCCGACTGCATGTGTGCTAGACAACAGGAAAGGCAGTACACATTAAACTGGGCTGTGAGAGGGAAACAGCGTTTTTAAACAACAGTTTATTTGATAATCAAAAACATGTAGATATATGATGACATATATGAGCAACAGCTGTATCAACCTGCATTAATCTAAAAATGATCATCAAAAAGAAAAATCAATTCATATCAATTTATTTTTTTCTCTCATCTGCTTCAAAAGCAAAAGACCCATCATAGTTGTCATCGGATGGGGGTCATTTGGAATTCCAGAACATATATGTTTAACATTAAGATTTTTTTTAATTATAAAAAAAATATCAGTGATAGATACTTGTCTTTTAAGAGTCAAAACGTTTACAACATCCGATACATCAGGTTTGCTACAGAGGCAGAAACATCCATCAAGAGATTTCTAATGTCAATAAATAACGACAGATTCTTTATTCACAATAATGATTAAAGATGTTAATATTCAAAGATGAAAAACTTGTCTTAACACATGTGAACATATCAATCATAACATGCCAACTAATCAAGATAAAATCACAGGTGTCTCTAGAAATGAAGTCCAAACAGGGGAGATAACAAAGATCAAATTTACCTCCTCTTTCACAAACATACTGTAATTGGGGTGGTATTTTACATTTATTTCTTCATAACGTTTTTTACCATTCAAATAAAGGCAGAACTCTTTTCTGTTCACATGGGTCAAATTGTCAGTGTTTTGGGTTATAGTAGGGTATTTGACATGTGATAGTTAAGTATAATTATTGAACACAGTGCTGAACTACATGAAATATATCAATAACTTGTTTCACAACTTCTTCATTTGTAAATGTTAAAGTTAAAAACAAAAAAAGAAGCAACAACTGTCACACATGATGTCAGTGTGGTTATGTGGCGCTAATTAAATGTCACTAATTCCTGTCGGATAATGTGAATTTTAAATAATTAGTTCACAAAAAAAATGTTCTGTTCTATCAATAGAGGCTATTTTATATGACTACTTAACAAATAAATTGTTTTTAGTCTTAGACTGTTACACAATGAAAGATCTCTAGATGTATGGGATACATGAAGCTACATATAATTCGAATACTTAAACACTGACCAAGAGTACAGTGACTAGTGTTACCCTTATGAAAACAGTAATTAGTAATGAATCTCTGCTGGTAAATGGTATGTCCAATTTTCAACATCAATAAAAGTAGCAAAATACACACCGGGTATGAACTTGGTATGAACTTGGTATGAACGTTTCGTTTTGTAGCTAAACACAAGTAAAATCATGTTTGATTTTCAGGGGTGAAGGTCCAAATGAACTAATTTTAAGTGGAAGTCTCCTCAAGGCAAGTGACATTAACAGAATCTCATTATACAGAATACATAGTGGGGAAAACAGTGTTTCAAGAAATTGAGATATTCAGTGAAGAGTACAATTGACAATTGTGATAATAAGAAAAATGTATTGTATCAATGATTTACATCACCAAATTATAAACATTGCTACAAAGCATAAACACGTATTATTTCACTTCCTCTTTAGTGACACTCTAGGCTACAAGTGGACGAGGCGGCATACACTCTAGGCTACAAGTGGACGAGGCAAGATTATTTGTAGGTTGCATTTGGAATCACTTGGATTAAGTCCTACTTTGCGTACATGCTCTCACACACCTTCCTATGTCTTTTAAATTAATTGTCTAACCAATTCAAACGATGAGGATGAATTACACTGGCTCCTGCTCAAGTTCCGCTGTTGGTGTTTTTTCTCCCGACATTTCTTCTGTCTGACAATATTTATCGTCCTGTTCCACTGTAATAGACTGGAGTATTTTTTGTTTAGCGGTGGTGCAGACCTCCAGCAGTTCACGTAGCCCGTTGTTCTCCTTCTGTAGTTGAGTGAAGATTTCCTGATCCTTAGCTGATGCGTCCTCATCCACCATGACGGCCCGCTGCATCACGGCTGCCATCTCACATATCTTGTCAATGAGTCGCTCCAGGTCCTACATCCAAACAAGTCAGGTTATTCAATTGAAATTTATTAACAGATGTATCATTTAAATGAAAAGCCCAATATTTAATTGTTTTTATGTAACATCTAATGCTGAAACACTATTTGGATATCAACGTTTTTCTCACTTATACTTATCTTATTCATACTTGCCAACTTTTTTAAAAACTTCATGGGGGAGATCATTATGGGTGCTCAGAATTAAGCGCATAAATAAAATGTGTGTTTGTACACCCTTGGTAAAAATGACACTTTTGAATGGCATCTTTGAGCTGTTCCTTCAGAAGAAATCATCATATCTTATCATATCATATCAAGATCTTTTCAGTACTTAACCTCACAAACTTCTATATACTCATAATGTTGAAACGGTGCCATAACATCAAATCCTTTCATTGTATTCCTACCTTAGACTGGTCTTTCTTCTCTGCTATAACAGTTTCAAAGTTGTTGGCCTGTATGAGTTTAGTCATCTGTTCTCTGTATTTCTGCATGATGAGCTCCAGTGCATTCTGGTGTTCCTCTAGAGAACATCTCAGTTCCCTGTTCTCCTGTTGAAGTTCTCTAATCTGTCGGTTTTCCTGAGCAATTCCAAGAACTAACGTGGAGCGCGGCCGGTGACGTGCAATCTCATTTAGTTCTGTAATGTCGTCTTGGTACTAGCAGAGAAAAGAAAGGTTGTGTCAGGGATCCATGTGTGTAGATATATTTAGTTCTGTAATGTAGCCTTGGTACTAGCAGATAAAAGAAAGGTTGTGTCAGGGATCCATGTGTGTAGATATATTTAGTTCTGTAATGCCGTCTTGGTACTAGCAGAGAAAAGAAAGGTTGTGTCAGGGATACATGTGTGTAGATATCTTTCGTCCTGTAAAGTCGCCTTGGTACTAGCAGATAAAAGAAAGGTTGTGTCAGGGGTACATGTGTAGAAATACTAGACACTAGACTATGAAGGGAAGGAGAGAATGACTGCGAAACAGCTTTGGGATGGGCACCAGATGGAAAAAGGGCAAGAGCTGGGAGGCCAAAGACAACACGGCGTAGGACAGTAGATAGAGAAAGGAACCAAGCAGGATGGGGGACTTGGAATACAGCCAAAACAGCAGCCCAGGACAGAAAGAATTGGTCAGCCAGCATTGAGGCCTTATGCGCCTTCTGACGAGGAGAGCATTAAGGTGGTACTAGCAGAGAAAAGAAAGGTTGTGTCAGGGATCCATGTGTGTAGATATATTTAGTTCTGTAATGTAGCCTTGGTACTAGCAGATAAAAGAAAGGTTGTGTCAGGGATCCATGTGTGTAGATATATTTAGTTCTGTAATGCCGTCTCGGTACTAGGAGAGAAAAGAAAGGTTGTGTCAGGGATACATGTGTGTAGATATATTAAGTTCTGTAATGTCGCCTTGGTATTAGCAGAGAAAAGAAAGGTGGTGTCAGGGATACATGTGTGTAGATATATTTAGTTCTGTAATGTCGCCTTGGTATTAGCAGAGAAAAGAAAGGTTGTGTCAGGGATCCATGTGTGTAGATATATTTAGTTCTGTAATGCCGTCTTGGTACTAGCAGAGAAAAGAAAGGTTGTGTCAGGGATCCATGTGTGTAGATATATTTAGTTCTGTAATGTAGCCTTGGTACTAGCAGATAAAAGAAAGGTTGTGTCAGGGGTACATGTGTAGAAATACTAGACACTAGACTATGAAGGGAAGGAGAGAATGACTGCGTAACAGCTTTGGGATGGGCACCAGATGGAAAAAGGGCAAGAGCTGGGAGACCAAAGACAACACGGCGTAGGACAGTAGAGAGAGAAAGGAACCAAGCAGGATGGGGGACTTGGAATACAGCCAAAACAGCAGCCCAGGACAGAAAGAATTGGTCAGCCAGCATTGAGGCCTTATGCGCCTTCTGACGAGGAGAGCATTAAGGTGGTACTAGCAGAGAAAAGAAAGGTTGTGTCAGGGATCCATGTGTGTAGATATATTTAGTTCTGTAATGCCGTCTTGGTACTAGCAGAGAAAAGAAAGGTTGTGTCAGGGATACATGTGTAGAAATACTAGACACTAGACTATGAAGGGAAGGAGAGAATGACTGCGTAACAGCTTTGGGATGGGCACCAGATGGAAAAAGGGCAAGAGCTGGGAGACCAAAGACAACACGGCGTAGGACAGTAGAGAGAGAAAGGAACCAAGCAGGATGGGGGACTTGGAATACAGCCAAAACAGCAGCCCAGGACAGAAAGAATTGGTCAGCCAGCATTGAGGCCTTATGCGCCTTCTGACGAGGAGAGCATTAAGGTTAAGGTAAGGAAGGATTCACAAGGATAAATTGATTACACCAAAGCAAAACAAGACATAATGTTGATGAGATGTAAGCCAAGGTAGATAACTCTTACACAAGAATAATCTCGGCAGGCTAGGTACCAGTACAGTTTTCATTACTATGTATAGGACGATACACATAACAGGAACAACAGGAATCAACCAAATTGTTTCTAATTCAAGTATTTTATATGAAAATTGATCTTTCACCCCATTAATAATGATAAGTTTCTTGTCCAAAATTATAAAGGGTATTTAGTAAAGACTTATGGCAAGAAAAATGCTTCTTAAAAGATTAAAAGAGATATAATTCTCTATCACTCAACTCAAAATTATTAGTCATACCTCTTTCATGGCATCCAATCGTTTGTGGAGTGTCTGTGTATGAGCGATCAGCAAGTCCGCTGTTGTGTCATGGGTGCGGAGTCGAGCCACAAGAATCTGGGCATCACCCAAAAGCTTATCAACAGTCATAGCCATTACAAATCTGTAAGTATAAACATAGCCATTACAAATCTGCAAGTATAAACATAGCCATTACAAATCTGTAAATATAAACATAGCCATTACAAATCTGTAAGTATAAACATAGCCATTACAAACCTTTAAGTATAAACATAGCCATTACAAATCTGGAAGTATAAACATAGCCATTACAAACCTGTAAATATAAACATAGCCATTACAAATCTGTAAGTATAAACATAGCCATTACAAACCTGTAAATATAAACATAGCCATTACAAATCTGTAAGTATAAACATAGCCATTACAAATCTGTAGAATAAACATAGCCATCACAAATATGTAAGTATAAACATAGCCATTACAAATCTGTTAGTATAAACATAGCCATAACAAATATGTAAGTACAAACATAGCCATTAAAAATCTGTTAGTATAAACATAGCCATTACAAATCTGTAAGTATAAACATAGCCATTATAAATCTGTAAGTATAAATATAGCCATTACAAATCTGTAAGTATAAACATAGCCATCACAAATCTGTAAGTATAAAGGAAGATTGCTATGAAACTTCTACAAAATGGTGATTAATTCCCAAACCATTTCACCATAACCCCCAAGAATTCTAACCATACTCTGAAAGAATACCCAATAGTTTTTTAAGGAGACTTGCATATAATTTTTATAGATATGAAAACGGACCATATACAGTATTGTAGTTCTTCCAAATATTATGAATTAAAATGGGATTTGATACACCTGATTTTACAGAGCATCCGTATGATGACACATGTGTAGGGTTCAACCCATGTTACAGCTCATATTTGTGGTCAATATGGTCATATGAGTACCAGTTCATTTGTTGCATTTATTACACCTACCTGGTAGTATCAGACCAGACTGACTGACAAAAAGGCTCCAACAAAGCTATCATAGACCATCATTTATTTTATAACAGTATGCTGGATTTTGATGTATTTTACAAAAGTTCAGCTGATAACATTTACATTTCATATTTTTTCTTGAGTGGTCTTGTCCTAAACCATTCAATGACCTGAGAATCATGAATGAAGCATTATATCGATTTTAAGAAAATTATTTGTGGACAAAACAGCACTACAGAATTGTAAGAGACATACTTAACCAATTACAAGGTACCATAGCATACGGTAGCCAGAGGTTTGGATTGCCATTCTTCCTCTATAAATGAGAATGCTATGTGAGTGCAAATGGCCCTATTGACATAACAATCGACTAATGAATCTGATATTTATAGTTTGGTTTGTTTTTGTTTTACGTCCTTTTAACAGCTATGGTCATTTAAGGTCGTGTCAGGTTTTGGTGGCAGAGGGAAGTCGGAGTTCCAAGAGAAAAATCACTGACCAACGGCCAGTACCTGGCGACTGCCCCATGTAGGCCTCGAACTCCCGACCCATTGGTAGAAGGTTAGTGGTAGCAGAATGTCAGACGCCCTAACCACTTGGCCATCCCAGCCCCGATATTTATATCAGCTATCATGAAAATATGAAGAAATATTTGTATCAATACTTTGTACATGAAACAGGAATCTGAAGCCTAAATGAAAGCAAATTTATTTAGAATCAATTTTATCATCTTTAACATAACTTTCTTTTAAAATCTACAGGTGTATGCATTATGAATAGTAAGAAACAACTGTGACATTTCAATTTTCATAAACTCATTCACCCCTGAAACTTCATAATGAAATATTCCAACCATTGACTTGGAAGAGTTCAAATGTGTCTTCAGGGGTGAATGAGTTAACTTATATAGATACTCTGATTTTAACATTGCTGCAAACATATGGGAAGTGAATGTTTAAGAAATGTCCGATTGATTTCAGCTGACTGATCTGTTATATAACAGCTAAATATTTATTGAATTTTGTAAGGCAGAAGTCAATAACAGATGAAGGCTTTTGTTCATTTTTTGTTTTTATTACAGTTCACAGAATGTTCAACTGAAATGTGGGGATGTGAAAACAACTGATGTCTTCATCGTCCAAGTTAAGGTAGAACATCTATTCTGAAGCTTTCACATCTCAGTAACAAATTACTTGCATGAATACCTCTGATAGATTAGAATAAATGTTATCTTTCTGCGACGTATTGAAGCCTAAATTCAGTTTGTACGTAATGATAATTTAGGATTCGACACTTATATAAACACAAATCCTCTAGTCCGAGACACTAGTTCTCAGCAAGTAGTTAACTTTATTAACAAACTTGTTATGTCCTATCATGAACTTGTGAGAAACATTAGAATGTCGAATGTTTGTTTACCCGCCCTCAGAGGGCGGGGTGAATTACCCTTTTTCTCTTACCCTGTGATGTACATTATAATGCTATGTTGATGTCAATGTATTGTTGACATGACGCTTATGCAATATTAGCATGACATCAATGTATCATTAACATGGCGTCATACTTCTACTATATATTTACCGCCTTCAACAGGTTGAAGATTATGTTATTTGAGATTGTTGCATAATGAGAAGGAAGAAAGATAAATAGATATAATCATACTTGCCAACCCTCCCTATTTAGGAGGGAGAGTCCCGATTTTGGACCCTTAAATTTAGCATTTTTAACCAGTGAATTTGCTTAACTGTTCCTATATTCTAAGATCTAATGATTTCATCAGAAAGAACAACTCAAATTATGTCATTTTAAAGGGTTATTTTGTCTCTAGGGGATGTATTTACACACATTCTGTGTTTTAATTTTGAGCATGCAGAATCCCCCCCACCCACCCTGCCATGGAAATTTCAAAAAGTTGGCAAGTATGGATAATTATATAAATAAATAAAATAATATAGTGAATAAATAAAGAGGCTGATTAAAGGTTTATGGCAGTTTTGCAATGGCGGATTTGAAGGCAGTCAATTTTTCAAGTTCAGAGATATCTGGGGGGAGTCAGTTCAAGTCAGATATATTGTTTTTGGAAAAAATGACTGTTTTCTGACTTCAGTTTTACATGAAAGGAATGAGTATGGGCCTTCCTGGTGAGACACGAAGGAGCAACTAAAATGTCCTTGGATAGGACAATTTGATTGTGTACAATCTTATGGAAGGTAAAAAGGTATATATCCTTACTTCGTCTTTCTAGAGAGGACCAGTCCAGCTTGCTCAGCATGTCACCAACACTGGACATATTCTGGTGCCTATTTGTGACATACCTAGCAGCTCTACGCTACACAATTTCTATTTATTGGATGTCAGTCTTTGTATAAGGGTCACATACAGTGCATGCATATTCAAGAGATGGTCATGTAGCGCCATGTATGCATTTTCTCAGACATGTGAAGAACCTATTTTAAGGTTTCTGCGGAGGAAGAGCCTTCGCACACACTTTATTTATATGAGCATACCATTTTAGGCTTGATTTGATGTTAAGGCCTAAATATTTGACATCATCTACATGTTTGAGCGGATAACTATTTAAGGTATACTGAAATTTGACAGGGGACTTATTTCTACTGAATGACATGACATTTCACCTGTCAGGATGGAATGACATTTTCCAGTTCCTCTCCCACTTTGCCAAAAGGTCTAAATCAGCCTGTAACCTTAGAGCATCACTAGTTGATTTGACTGCTATTCCATAGGAGGCCGCCCGGTATGCAATGGTGTCATACGCAAATAGGCGGACAGTTGCATCTTGGCCCACCAGCATGTCATTGATGTAGATCAGGGATAATGTTGGGCCGATGATCGAACCACGGGGGACCCCGGACATCACATTCACATACAATTGATATTACTGAGATTTTTTATCCATGTAAAATGGAAAAGCGACAAATGTGGAATAATGGCTCAGTAAGAGATATATCAACATATATGTTGCCTTATATATTCCTTATTATGTAAATTATAGCATGCCGATCGGTCGTATCCCGAACAGCTAATAAAAAGGATCACAGGCGAGACCATCAGCTTGCCCTTTTTTATAAGATCGTGAAGAGGCTAGTTGGCATACCTGTAGATCACATATTGACTTCATCAAACACCCGTATCAGATCAACAAATAGTGAAAATTAACGACATTTCCAGTGTTATACGGACATATTGAAAAATTCATTTTTTCCTCGAAGAACAACAGAGTGGAATAACCTACCAGAAGACATCGTCAAAATGTAAGAACTTAAAAGCTTCAAGACAGCACTACAAACTGAAATAATATAAACTATATGCGCACTCCTCCAACCCAGGAATTTATACTCAAATTTGAGGTCTTCCAGTAATATACAATTACAATGGCAGTTCTGAAGCCTGTGATGAATATGAAGTTTTAGCGGAGTACAACCGTGACCGTCTTTGGCGTCTGCTCAAGTTTGTGTTTTGAATTTACGTATGTGTGTCTATATTTCGAATCGCCTCTTGGTTCAGTCAATGCATATAAACATAGTTACCTGATCTTTTAACAAAGATAATGCTATACCAACAAACACACTTTCTGGACAGTGTCACTAAATGTTTCGTCGCCCGACTTGACACCGGAAGTAAATCTTACCAAGCTTTTCTAATACACAGATTTCCATCGAGGCCATCAAAAAGCTTTATTGGCCTATCTCGAAAGCAAACAGGTGGTGGGGGGCATCTCAAAATGTGGCTATATGAAAATCCCATCGTGGACCCAATAGCGCATTGGGGATAGAGGGGCGGGAGCAAATATAGGGAAACAGAGGTAAATCTTCAAAAACCTTCTCGTTACGATATTTAAATCAGATTTGATATGGAGCACCCTTGGGACTCAATGGTGTTTGAAATCCTAGGTTTTCAAGTTAAAATTCAAAATCATTTCAATATAATTTTCACCCTCTTTTTCATCGATGTATAGCCAGTATATAAACCTACCCAATTCATCTGTGAGCATCGGTAGTGAAGCGGACGTAAAACCTATCAATCAATCAATCAATCAATCAATCATCTGTGAGCAGTAAGATCATCAATGGCGGATCCAGAGTTTTTTTGGGGGCTTCAAGAACCCCCCTCACCCCTAATCTATTTTCACCATTTCCCTCAATTTTTCCCCACAAGGAAACCTCCCTTGAAATTTGGAAACCCCCCAGATAGGTCTCTGGGTCCGCCACTAATCATGGCCCTTATTGTCATGACGTCATTTCATTTTTGTGCGATAATCATAATGTAAATGAAAACTATAAATACTTGTTCTATAATTAGTTCTGAACAGGACTGTAGACGAAGATATAATCATAGGATTTTAACTCGGAACAGAATGCAGTTTTTTGATCATGGCAGATATTTCTATTTTAATTGATGATCGATGAATATCGAATATCAGATAAAAAATACAATACACGTCACGAGTTGTAAAAACACTTCAAAGAAAATAGTCTTTTTAAGAAATAATTTATTTTCGAAAAAATCTCAATCATATTACAAAATGAGGTGAGGTTCTGTAATTAGTCTTTGTTTGACCATTGATATATTTCCATTCCTTACACGCATTCTCTCATTATTAAATCACAAGTAAAACAGCTTAGTTTTCTAAAATGCTTGTTTAAATTATAGCATGCACAGACAGACAGACAGACAGACAGACAGACAGACAGATTCTTTATTTCCTCTGGATAGAGATTTCAAAATACAGTTTTTGATTCAAAAAAATTGATCGGAATATTTAGTTTAAATCATATCAAGTCACATTCATTTGCAATTTAAAGTCTTGAGTTCATGTCGGGGAGCAGCAGCCCAACTCCGTCCGCAACAACCAGCATCAAACTCTCCCACTCGTCATCAGCCAATTGGATGCGCGCGCTACTTCCCAATAGAAAATCCGTTTGGTAATTGTCCTCAAGGAATGAAAACTTTACATTATCTCTGACATTTACTACATTTACAACCTTATCAAGGAAAGCATCGCGTGTAAGGTACAACACTGGACACTCAATAAGTAAATTTGAAACAATAGTGATGGTAGTTTTCGCCCACAATCACAATATTTCCCCAAAAAATACTATAAACAGTATGAAAACACAAATAAGAGATCCTAAAAATCACATTTTACTTGAATAAGGCTATTATGAAAAATTGAAAAACGGAAAAAATGAAAATAAAAATAAAAAAAACTGAGGAAAAAAACCAAAAAAAAATCAAATTGAAAAACATCTAATATTTTCTCAACAAATACTTAAAACAGTATTAAAACACAAATGAGATATCGTGATCATCACTTTCTACGTAAATTAGGATATTTCGACAAGTTGAAAAACGGATAAAATATTGATAAATACACAAAAACTGAGGAAAAAATACAAAAATAAAATTTAAAAAAACCCATAAAATATTTCCCCAAACAATACTATAAACAGTATGAAAACACAAATGAGAGATCGTAAAAAATCACATTTTACTAAAATAAGGCTATTATAAAAAGTTGAAAAACGGAAAAAATGAAAAAAACTTTAAAAAACTGAGGAAAAACCTCCAAAAATTCAAGTTTTAAAACATCTAATATTTCCTCAACAAATACTTAAAACAATATGAAAACACAAAGGAGAGATCATAAACATCACTTTACACTTAAATTAGGATATTTCAACAAGTTGAAAAACGGATAAAATAATGAAAAATAAACAAAAAATGAGGGAAAAATACAAAAATATAATTTAATTTTTTTTTTTTTAAATATTTCCCCAATATATAAAATAATATTAACAGTGTGAAAATACAAATGAGAGATCGTAAACATCACTTTATACTTAAATAAGGCTATTTCAACTAGTTGAAAAACGGGAAAAAAAACCAGAAAAAAAAAGGAAAAAAAAAGAATGAGGAAAAAAAAAAAAAAATTCAAATTTAATACACTTCAAATAATTTCTCAACGAATAGTTCAAACAGAATGAAAACACAAATGAGAGATCATAAACATCACTTGATACTTAATCAATAGGATGTTTCAACAAGCTGAAAAACGGAACTAAAAATTAAAAAAAATAATTGAGAAAAAAATTGAGGAAAAAAACAAGAAATTCAAAGGTAGGGACAACGCCTATGGAAATTTAACATTAGCGTCGGCCCCCGCTTTGAATTTCAAAAGAAAATAGATCCAAAAAGGTATGGTTATAGGAAGCTTAAATCAGGAATAGTTAGTTTCAGAATTCATTTGATGATAAATGTGATCTCATTGACTTACACCTGTGTGGGTGCTAAAGGTGTGGTAAAACAATTCCTCCTAGAGCATTTAAATAGCACAATTACTATCAAATTATATCACTATCGTGTGCAACATATTCCAACTGTTATTTTGACACCAAATATTACACTATTTCAATAACGAATTGTTCTTTTTATTGAAGATTTATGCAGAAAAGTGTGTGAATTTTCATTTTTAATGAGAAAATTTCCATTTTTTACACATTAATTTATAAAGTTCTAAAAATAGTCTATTCTTACTTACTGAAAAGTTGGCTACCAATTATATCTTTCAACACGAGGAATTAACAAAAAAACTAACAACCGGTAAATTTGTCATATAACACTTTTGGTTAAAAATAAGAAAAACACATTTCCTTTAACTTGTGTTTCTTCATGACAAAGGTCCTTGGGTCTTGATATTTGGAAAGTAGGTTGCTGATGTGAATGAGTTTAACTGTTGTAAACGTTGATGACCTTGGCATTAGTTCAAGGTCACAAAAAATCAAATGTGCTGAAATTTATTTTTTGTATAGGGAGTCAGACAAGGATATATTTCCTTGCTTTATTTGTTAAGAGTTAACGATATAAAATAGCGTAATATTCCTTCATATTTTGTTTACTGAATATAGGAGCGGGGGTATCAGTTAGTCTTTGGCTTAAAGTTCTATTTTTCCAAAAGGCAAAAGAAAAAATAATAACTATCATCAACAACCTACTTGCCAAATATCAAGACCCAAGGACTTTTGTATAAACCAGAACTGTAAGCTAAAGGCTAACTAAGGCAAAGCATTGCAAAGCAATCCATAGTCTTCCACCAGTAATGATCTAAGTACGTATGTCACTGACATACCCCTTGTACTCCCTCCCCATGCCAAAACATACTTTCATACCAAATCTTGTTAGCCTTGAAAACCCAGTTTTGCTAACATCGTCCTAGTAGTTAAGGAAGAGTTGTCAAGTCCAGACAAAGATTTTTAACAAAGGGCCATAACTCCTTAAAAAGGGTCGAAATTAAAAAAATACACTGATGCACGACACAGTGAGTAATTACCACATCTGTAAACTTTCATTGAAATCGGCCCAGAAGTTTATCGGGCAGAATTTTTTTTTTTGAAGATAGGGTCATAACTCCTTTTTAAAGGTTCGGACTGAAAACATACTACTTGGATCGATGCACAATGTTAGGGGGCAGTTACCATATCTTTAAACTTCCGTTGAAATTTGCCACATAGTTTTGGAAGAGTTGTCTGGACAAGCTTTTTTCAACAAAGGGCCATTACTCCGTAAAAAAGGGTCAGATTGAAAAAAAAGAATACCTGGATGCACACCATCAGATGTTACATATTGTATTTACCATATCTGTAAACTTTCGTTGAAATTGCCCCCTTAGTTTTGGAGGACATGTCCGGCAAAGGATATTTCAACACAGGGCCATAACTTTGTAAAGAAGGGCCAGAATGAAAATAATAATACCTCGATACACAACTGCAGGTGTTAGTTATCATATCTGGAAACTTTCGTTGAAATTGGTCCACTACTTTAGAAGGAGTTGTCCAGACAAACGTTTTCTACGGACAGATAGACAAGCTGATTCCAGTATACCTCCCCCAACCCCTAACGAATTCGTTGCGGGGGGTAAACTAAAGTGTATAATAGTTTTATGATTAAGATTATTTTATTATTTTTATATAATTGCATAACTTTGTCTATAACACAATCTCAACTTAAAGTAGTTCTCAAGAGGAAAGATTACTTTGGCAGAATACATATTCATGAGTTATTATTGCTGCACATAACTTTAAAACATGCCTTATATAATAAAGGTTTTGGTATGATACAAAAACAGAAAATGTATCGGTATTATCATAATAAAATCAAAAGTCAAATCTTCAAGGTTATGTGAAATTTGCAATTGATCATGTTTGGCATGCTAAAAAGGTACTTAACCGTTTTTTAGAAAGTTTAAAATATAGACTACCATTGTAACTATATGAAGGCAAGTTGACAATGTCGGTTATATTTTAAATTTTGCATGTTTTTTTCTAATTAACAGTATCACTACGCTTACTTGATGTATACCAATATGACATATTTAGTATCAAAATAACAGTAATTTTATACACAGTACACTATCGTAATTCATTTTCAAAATAACATTTATCGCCTGTGACATTTATCGGTCATTTTGTTAGGATAACCCCGTCACTCAATCTGGTGTTATGCAAGGAGGTCGACTACGGTTACCAGTAGTAATTATGAATAATAATTTATGCAGTTATTGATCATTTTTGTGTGTCTACATATGTCAAAAGAATAATGAAATCAAAGTGGGGGCCAAATGTTGACCCCACCTTTAAAAAACATAAAAATATTTCCTCAACAAATACTAAAAACAGCATAAAAACATTAATGAGAGATCAAAAACATCAAGTTATACTTAAATTGGATATTATCATAAGTTGAAAAACGGAAAAAATTGTAAAATAATAAAATGATTAAAAAAACAAAAATAATATTTAAAAAATAAATAAAATATTTCCCCCAAAACAGATATTTTCCAATATTTTCAAGATTTCTCTCAAACAATTTATCTGATAACTCACTTTTAACAAACGTATAGTCTCAATTTAACACAGTTTTAACAAAGTCAACATTAGTCAACTATATAAGATATACCTGGCGTTAGTGGCAACGACCAGGATGTTTTTTTCTACATTCTGACAGGACTGTGTCTGACCTGTTTGGTAACTATGCTTATTTGTAATGTGCTGACAAAACAATAGCAATACAATGATATTGATACGATAGCATTAAAACGATATTACAAAACGATATGACTCACTAAACATTGGCATTATAAGGATCACTGTGCTTTTTCCTGTATGCAGTATCCTCTCCTTAACTTCCATTCGGATATAACAACTGTAGCACAGTTGCGCAATGGCACTTCTAGATCTGTTGACCAGGTTGCTCAACTGGTTATAGCGATGGTACTACATTCTGAAGTTCAGGGTTCAAATACCGGCTTAGCATCAGTGATTTTTTTCACACTCAAAACACTGCTTGTTTATTTTCATCTTTATTATTTCACATGAAAGTCCCACAAGGTATGGTTTACTTTTCAGAAATGATCTATCAAACCTATAGTAGTGTCGGAAAATATTTTCCAACACTAAGTTACAGTTTTTGGTACAGGGGATCCTTTAACGAAACGAGCAATAATTCAAAGACAACAAAGAACCAACACCGCGATCCTAGTCACGGCACCATACTACAATGGACGGGTAGAGCATTCATCACAGATTCACTTTATATAATTTTATTAGCGAAGGAATCAGTTCGATCATTGTCATTGGATGATGTTCAAAACATTTTGAAGTGTTTAAATTTCAAATATAAACCTCACCTCAACGGAGACTAAACATGATTTGAATTTATATTCTAAATCCAGATTCAGATAAAATTACCATTGTATCGCAACCTCCTTTACCAGTGTTCCACTGAACTGCGTAAAGTGTGGTCAATGGCGAGTTCATAGATTGTATGACGAACGCACCGTTCAGTATGGCTGTCAAGACATGATAACATTAAATCGATCCGCCCTACTTGGAAGAAGCGAATTCCGCCACAGTTCTAGAAAGTACTGGACAATCGTCTCCACCTGCGCATCCAGCTTCAGCACCAACACCTGACAGAGAACTACTAGCGTTATCACCTGGAGGATCACCACCAGAGTCGTGAACACCACTTCCAGTTTCATAATTGAATTGATGAATTTCTAGTCGTGGCCCCACAGCCTGTAACGCCTGTAACACTGCGCCAATCGGCATCACGTAGCATTCTTTTTTGTTGTCAGACCCGCCCAACAATACTCCAATGACACGTATAGCCATGTCTCTCACTGCGAACACAGCAGAACCGGAGTCACCATGTGTAGCAAACTCTGTATCGCTCAATATCAGATATAAATTGTGACGTTCTTCTTTCTTCATTACTCCCCATTTCACTACGTCCATCATTGTTTCAAGGCACCCTGCTGTAAGCCCTGATGCGAAGCCTAGTTTATAGACCATGGTATCCTCTTCCATTTGCATGATCGGTTCCCCCATTGAAAGAATTCCTCCGAAGTCTACAATGATAAATAGTTTACATGTGTTTCAGGTGTGTGTACTTAACAGCTTGTTTTAAAGTTTTAATAAGATGAAGAATATCACTATTAACTATTTACTGTTTTCTTTGAAAATTTCAATTTGATAAAAAATGGACTTTCCAAAAGTAATTAAATATGAATTTCTTTTTATTATTTTTGTTATCAACATGTTTGAAATTGAATTTGTTGACTTCCCCTTTCTATACTTATAATGTCATAACTTACCATTTATCAATCTTTCTGGGGTTATTAATTCTTTCGGTATCCGTTGATTGATGACAACATAAGCAACATCAATGCTTGTGAGTTTTTCTTTGTATTGTATATCTTCCAAACACGTGGATATGATTTTACCACATGTTGTATTATCTGCCTTGTCGTGTAAAAGGGAAGGTTGAACTACCTGACTACCGACTTTAGGTGAATGTAAAACATGTTGACATGTTAGAAAACCCATTGAAGATTTATTTTCAGCTTCAACTACAAATGGACCCAAAGTTCCAGCATCGGGTATACCTTTGCCTCCAATGCTTATACCGATCCGCAGAGGATCGTTGTATTCTCGTGCACCTTGAGTGCTGAAAAGGGAGAAGTATCCTTCTCGAACGTCGACAAACGTGTTTTCTATTTTCCTGCGAAATGTTTGTTCGTCCTGAGGTATTATTCCTTTGCAGGAACAGTACATCACGATACATGGCATTTCTACAATACCGCTCTTTCGCGATAGAACAGGACTTATTCCGATCCTGTAGAGGTTAGAGTGCTTCTTCATCAGATCTTCGGAGTATTTGTTCACGAGTTTGTACAGTCGTCTTTTTTCTTCAGTTTTCATTTTCAGACAGTTGTCGTGAATATACTCATCAACGTATCGTGTTTCCCAAGTAGCTGTTTCCACTGTTTTTCTGTCAAGAGCTGCATCAATATCTCGATGGATTGTGACGTGGATTTTGTCAAAGCTTTCTGCTCGGAATCCTATGGAACATCTGGTTGAATCCATCGAACCGCAACAAACAGATGTCAATTTGCGACCTGAAACATAAAGACATGTTTTGTGTTATAGATTAAGTGTGACCTCGCATGATAACAACTATCAATAAGAATCCCCAGAACTATATGAAAGCGCCTTGGTAGTTGTAGTATCTGCGTGCTTATCATCACTGGCTGATGAGTGTATCGCCCGGATGAACCGAGATTACTCATTGTATGAACTGTCAACAAACACACTTCGTCCTTTACGCAACTGCCTAACGCACATGAGTTATATAACATCCTATACATATGCAAGGCAAGAGGAGTTATGTCCTATGACGTTAGTTGTAATGCTAATTAATAGATACCACAGAAGTAAAAATTCGCAGGATATAAATCTTTACATCAAAATAATTTCACTAGGTTTGAACGTGAATTGACCTGTGTGATTGCAAGTTCGTTTTGTTGTATCGTTTGGTACTGTGGACACATGTTTTTTTTATTTAGATCAAACGTAAATATCTCTTTTATAAATTAAGTTCGCACAATTTATAAAACTCTATACCGGTTAATATAAACTTTATTTCATTCCACACTAAGTTGCATGGCACCACATAACATACAAAATACAGAGGAATGGGATCTGGAAACAAGATGAAATAACTTATATAAATCAGTTTCCGATAATATATCTCATTTAATTTAAGGCATGAAGGCATAGTAACTGAATTCTATGGAACGAAATATAAACACTTAAAACATACACTTACTAAACGTAGTTCGAGGGAGACTAGAATGTTGTATAATGAATAGAACTTAGTCAAATCTTTTAGAATGGATGATGAAGTTTTGTACAGATGAAAAAATCAAAGCATTTTCATCATCTGTAAGCTCCTCATTCCCGAACAAAAGTAAATCAAATGAGAGTGGATGGTTGATTTCGTTAAATGTATGTAAACGTAGATGAGAAAAAGACAACAATGTAATAGATAATGTTCATTGGTTTCATTTGCTTGCATGCAAGAACACAGAGGACTATCAATTAGATTTCTCTGGTACAGATAAAACTTAGGGGAACTACACTCCATTCTTAATCTAGCATGATGTATCTGCCCCAGTCTGGTACCATTAAAGTAGAAAATTTGAATTTTGTGAGCGGGCTTTCGTAGATAGGTTTTAAGTTTATAAATTGAAGGGTCGTTCTTGACATAGACAGGCAAGGAGTTCCAGATACTGAATAAGAGTGTAGTACATAGTTTGGAGACTATACCTGTCCAAAGAGAATTTAAATTTACGTAAGATATTTATTTTAGGTGAAATCTTAGATATCAAATAACTGATGTGTTCATTCCGATGACCATTTCCAGATAGAATAATACCCAAATGCTTATGTGTAGTAACTTCAGAGATGTTAGTATTGTTCATATGTAAGGGAGGGTGAAAAGGTTTAATATTTTTTCTACTAATGAGCAGGGTTTCTATTTGGAAGGGTTAAAATTTACTAACCATCTTTGTGACCAGTTATGAATTTTAGTACGGTCACTATTAAGAATGTATGCGCTGACTCTAGTAATATCAACAGTGACGTAAAGAGAGGTGTCGTCAGCGAATAACTTTATTTTAGCTTGTATATTTTTAACAATGTCATTTATATATATCAGAAATAAAAGAGGTCCAAGAATTGAGCCCTGTGGAACACCAGCCTTAACATTTTACCAATTTGAATTTTTACCATTGATGACAACTCTCTGCTTTCGATTGGAAAGATAATTTTCAAACCAAACTAATAGCGAATTTCGAATCCCATAGATGGATAATTTACAAAGAAGGCCTTTATGCTAAACACGATCGAAAGCTTTACTAATCTCACAAAAGACCATACGTATTTTCTTACCATTGTCGAAAGCTAAATATATATCATGAATGATCGCAAGAAGTTGCTTTGTTGGTGAGTCACCGTGCCTAAAACTAAATTGATGGGGGGATAGGAGGGAGTGAGTGTGCAAAAAATTGTAGACATATTTGAAGTCACATCTTTCCATTAATTTACCAACGATCGATAGCAGTGATATAGGTCTGTAATTAGTTAATATGGACTTGTTTATGCACGGGGGTGACGTTAGCAAACTTCCATTCAGATGGGAATACTCCAGATCTAATTGACCTGTTAAAGAGATTTCTTAAGGGGACACATATGATATTTACTGACTCTTTAAGAAGACGAGGATTTACCAGGTCAGGACCAATGGCCCTATAACAGTCAGTGGTAAGAATAGCATCTCTGACATCATTAGCTGGGATGTTAATATCAGATAAGGAATTATTACATTCGTCGTTAGTGTTAGGGAGATTTACATTGGAGTCATCTGAGACAGCGCTATTGTTATGAAGCAATGGTGGTATACAAAATTTACCAGAGTTAGGTAATAGTTGCTTTACAGTTTTCCACCATTGTTTAGCACTAATGTTAGAAGGTTTGCGAAGTTCGCTACATAAATAAGAAAAATATGTTCATTTGGCGTGCTTAATTGTTTTAACACATTTGTTACGAAGTCGACGAAACTTTGCCCAGTGAGCTTCAGTAAGGGTACGCTTGGCTTTTTATGAGCGCGCTTTCGTTTACGAATTAATCTCCTTATTTCGTTTGATAGCCAAGGGGGTTCATTAGATCTGATGACTATTTTTTATTTGGAATACAAGATTTAGCAATAGTCTAAGAAATGTTTGACAGCATCATTAATATCATGAAAATCACTCAATAAATTCTATTTAACTGAGCTTAGTTTTTCCCTAAATAAATCGTAATTTCCTAGGTCAAAAATCCAAACATTTCGCTTAAGTTTTGAAATATTAAAAGAACAGTAAATTGGACAATGATATCTAACCGGTTGGTCAAGGAAGCTTTCTCCAACATAGCATTTATTAATAAGGTAATTACTACTAGTACAGACTATATCTAACAATGACTCGGAGGCTTCTGTATAAAAAGTTGATGATTCAACAAGCTGAGTTAGATTAAAGGACTCGCACAACTTAATCATTTACTATATGTTATTACCAAACATTTTAGCTAATAACTTTAATATTTGAAGTTCAAAACCAGTGACAACTGTCTAGATTCATAAATACACACCTTACAAAGGCTACAAAATGACTTTTTTGGCAGGTTTAGTGGCATATTGGAGTGTCACAGCGCCAAGAAGTTGACAACCGGAAGTTGACAAGTAAAACCGGTGACCCTAAACAGAAACGCCCCCAGACATTTTGTCCCTGTGCAAATCCGCACACAAACATGGACATATATCAAAAGTATACATTTTTCAAAAGTTAAATACCTGAACATTTCATTTATCTAAATATCTGTCATCAGTTCCTTATTAAACTCCTTCAGTGGCCCAGTAATTAGCCGGATCTTATTTCAGATAGGAACTACAAACGTATGAAACACTTGCTGATTGGCTGATTTAGTTGTGTGAGTCCTAAAGGAAACAAGTATATCGCGTAAGTGGGACGAATGGTGGTCTACTAGGGCATTTGCATTTAAGTCGCCGGTTATCACAATATGAGAAATACCTGAATTATACGCTTTTTTCTATAGAATGCGAGATATGGGACCATAAGATGACAGGAGAGTTTGGAGGCCGATAAAAAGTACCATACAATATTCTTTCTGAACCAAGTACAATTTCTTACCCAACACGTTCAATGGTAGCTATCTCTATATCTGATCTTCTCTTTGCAGGAATATTATATTTTACATAAACCGATATACCACCGCCCATTCGATCAGGTCTACAGTGGCAGAATGGGTCAGAATATCCAGGCAGGTTAAAGTCAGATGAGATATCACTTAAATTTAACCATGTCACAGTAAAGGATAACCTTGTTATATTACTTAACTCGGTATAAAGAATATCGAGTTTTTGTTTGAGACTTTGTACATTAAGATGGACAAACGAAAAATTACTTACTGCATCAAGCTGGCCACTAATATTCGAAAACATAGATGAGGAAGATGAGCTAGAAGACATGGGACCAGGATTCAGTTCTATATCTCCAGATAACAACAAATGCCAATAGTCCAAAGCACGACGTAGATATATAGACAATTTATCAGTAGCGGACATGATAGAAGAGGAGATGAATTTAGCACTTATGTAATGAAAATTTTGGTTTGTATTTGAAACTTTTGACGCTAGAATGGACGAAAGAATACCTATCGTTACAGAACTGGATACTTGAAGAGGAAGTAGAAGCAATTGATTCATGGAAGAAAAGGGCTGGGAATTTAACTCAATGCCACCTGACAAACACTAGCTGATCAATGCATACTGTATTTATATAGAAGTAAGTATACCGGTTAATTGTATATCAGTCATACAGAAAGGATTATGTTCAGTATGAAACAATCATCAAAATGAGCATACACAATATTTACTATATACATATATATGGGTGTATATCTGTTGATTACATATGTCGATCACTTCTATTCGCGTGTATTCGTTTTGTTGCTTTAAAGGGACATCCTTACAGAAGATAACTATACATGGATATCATTGTTTTGATGAATTTCACTTACGTTGATGGTTTTCCACGACGTCCGGAATGAGAAGTTTCTCCTCCTGAACAATTATGATCTCTTCTTCTAAAACGCTTTTGATGTACATATGCAAATTGTGCATCGACTCAGTAAGCATTGCTTTGATATCTGCATCAATTGCTTTCAATATTGAGGGCAACGTTGACGCAATGTCCTCACGGCTGTCTCCCCAATTTGTGTTTTTAAAATATTTTTTTACTTTGATCATTTTGATGATTCTGTCACAGAATTCACGTCCATATTTATCTTCCATGCGAAATATCATCTGCTTACATATCACCACTTTGTCCACCTTATCGCAGATCAATTCATTCATTTTTTGCGATAACTTTTCACCAATGATTTGAGAGAACTTGCGAATGATTTCATCAACACAGTTTTCTACGGTTTTGCCGTTTTGCTGTTTCATTGAAAAAACGTCTTTTCCGAAATTTAAGCAATTCATTAAATCATCTTCAGTAACATGCTGTTTGATTAGGCTACTAACGATTTCGCTTATTTTGTTTTTGTTTTGGCACACAACGTTGATGTCCCGTAGAGCTTCTTGATATTTCTCTAACCAACTGTTGATCACTTCACTTCGTTGTTTTGTTATGGCAAGTGGCTGAAATTCTGTAAGTCTCGCAGAAACTGTTTCATCCAATGTAACACCTGCCTCTTGAATATCAAATAGGACTTCACAAGGAAAATCCTCTTCCAGCAAATGGTTATTCTGAAAATTATAAAATATGGTAACTAAAATTAACATTTCTTTTAACAATTTTCTTCTTTTTTGTTGATAACACTGATTACACTTATTCAACAGATCACATTTACGTTCTTTTGGAATAAAGCAAGTTTCTGGTTTTCTTCATGTAGACTATTAGCCAATGACAACATTTATGCAAACATAATTGGCCGAGCTGCCATCGATATTAACGGCAGGCATGAAAGGTGAAAGTCGTAAACTTTTACTGGGAGCCTCGTCTTCATGTAATCTTATTCATGAAAACTGTCAAACCATGTCAATTTTTTTCTAAGTAATATTCATGTAAGTATTTCTAGTATAAATGATTGGCCATATTTATGAAACTAGCTTGCATGATTACGTTATATAATTGTTTTCAAAACAACGATTTTAACGTTACACCTACATACTTTACTCGTGAGCCTAAGGCGGCGATCTCTTGTTTCAACTTCCAGACGGACATGAGCGAGAACGTTGCCCCCGGCGTTGCTTTTCCTCCTTATATAGTCGAATGTTTCCTGTATATCCTCGCTCACCGACACGACTTCGACGTCATACTCTAGCAAAGCATCTTGAAATTTTTGCTGTAATTTCATGGATTCTTGTAGCGATGATAATAATGTATGTATAATGTCATGCCTGTACTCCGTCAGACGGTTTTTGACCTTTTTAACTCTTGCTGAGAAATGACATGTTGGTTTCATTTTCAGCGTCTGGGAGCTGGGATTGAAGGGTTTCATCACAAAATCTGCCATTATTGTGGTTCAAGTTGGTGTAGTCCTTTGATGTGTTTAGCGTTATTCTATCAAAAAAAAAGAAATAGTTAATTTTTACCATAGTAACCAAAACTTCAGAAGGTTGACTTCAAAGTCAAAGTACAATTAAACAAATAGAATGGTTGTAAATTGTATACTGCCATATAATTAATAATGTTGTAAATCCCTAAATACACCGAAGAAAACACAAATTGTCTTATTATCAATTTTTTCATTGCCAATAGTTTGCCTACGTTTTCTTCTTTTTTGAGTTTGATTTGGTTGGATTGGCGGTATTCTCAGCAGTAAATAGAAAATATCTGACACATGGCCCAAAACATGTTTATTCTACGTGGGAAATGTGTTTTGATATTGAGTCTAGATGAATAAAATATAATATTTTTGTCCCCCGATAATACAAATAGTTGACACGTTAATGGGGAATGTAAGATACACCATTCCTTCCATATTGGTTTCTCTTTATTACTTTCAATCGGGAAAATTAATTAGAAGGGGAATACCTACTTTTTATGCTTCCAGTGCTATATGTACATCATCCAAATCTATATTTAAGTTCTTGCTACGGTTTCTTATTATGCAGGTTCATCATACGTAAAAAGGTATCTTGAAGCAAATGTGTATTCTATTTTAAAAAAGTGTCTTGAATGTACATTAATTAGCAAATCTGTGCAAGTTGATAATCAGAAAATACGTAATATTTAAACGGCCAAATTTTTTTTTTTTATAACGAGCGGTTAATTATCGTTTCAATTCAAAACATTGTCTGTATACAAAAACATCTTCAGTTGCTGGAATAATTATAGATTATAACACTGTGTTTTCAAGGTTCGTCGCGAGAACAATTTTCTCATAGTGAGCACTTTAATAATATCGTTCTGTTATCCCCTGGGAACAAAATTCCAAAGGACAGGAGCTGGAAGGCTTGTAAGACCCATATGATGGCTAAGGTAAGTGTTGGGCACATGCGAGAGATTAGAACATTGTTTGAACAACAAACCTGAAATCATTGTGGGCTAAACTGTTAATCATTTATAATCCACTACCTTGTATATTTCTCCATTTATAAAAAGTCAACTGTAGGCCTAACCTAGTGTTCATCGAGATCCTCGGTCTGTGAAAAACGTAAATACCATACCCCTTAAAACTACGTAGAAAGGTAAAGTGTTATCGAAACAACAGTATCGTCACTGACCTCCAAATATGGACATTTACGCTTAAAATGGTGCTGTAATCCCTAACTGTATTTTTTCATAATTCTATAATGATTTTTTTATGACGGACTTTTTTCTTCCGCGTAACACCTGTGTGTGTCTACTATTTCCGATTCAGGACGTCACCTTACGCGAGAACAAGTCGTTCTCAATGTCTTAAATAAATGTTCCCCTGCAGGTAGGGCGTAATAATTGTACCTGCTGCCCCCAATTGCATGATCGTAAGAGGCGACTAAATTTGGGACCTTATCTCTTCTCTCCTTTCTAAATAACTTTCTTCTTCCTAATGTCTCCCTTGACAATGCCTCACTTTTGGCCATTTGTTGAGCGTTCGCCCCTGTGAGGAAGGCTTTGGGTTCTGTCCCCTGGCCGAGACATACCAAAGTCTTTAAAAATGGTAGTTTCTACTCCTGCTTAACGCTCAGCAAATTAGGAGTGGGACGACTGGTTCGCCCGTTGTCAGTATAATGTGACCGGGTGGGGCGTCCTGCTGGGTGTCTTCGGCAGTATGTTTCAGTGAGGTAGCACTATAAAGTCGGCATCAGTTCCGCGCTATCACAAGAAGACAAACACGAACATATCGCAGCCTCCCAAAATACACACACATACACTACACGCATGCATCTTGCACACAGGGGAGGCCGTCCTTAAATGACCTTAGCTGTTAATAGGACGTTAAACAAAATCAAACAAACAAACAAACTTAAATAAATGATGCAGTACATAGATAATAATACAATATCACTCTAATCTACGTTCAACACTGAGTAATTTCTCTCTGTAACTTCATTTCAACAGTTTCTCATAGTTACAATATGATTTAAATTTTTGTTGCAATTTCTTCTATATGATTTAAATTATCACCAGGGCAAAAACACGAATGTTACATTCTGGGAAATGCCCATCATCTGGGCGAAATCTACCTTATACACTAATGATATGTACAGACAAGGATTGTTAGTACCTTATACACTAATGATATGTACGGACAAGGATTGTATTTACCTTATACACTAATGATATGTACAGACAAGAATTGTATTTATCTTATAGACTAATGATATGTACAGACAAGGATCGTTAGTACCTTATACACTAATGATATGTACAGACAAGGATTGTTAGTACCTTATACACTAATGATATGTACAGACAAGGATTGTTAGTACCTTATAGACTAATGATATGTACAAACCAGGATTGTTAGTACCTTATAGACTGATGATATGTACAGACAAGGATTGTATTTGCCTTATAGACTGATGATATGTACAGGCAAGGATTGTTAATACCTTATACACTGATGATATGTACAAACCAGGATTGTTAGTACCTTATACACTAATGATATGTACAGACAAGAATTGTTAGTACCTTATACACTGATGATATGTACAGACAAGGTTTGTTAGTACCTTATACACTAATGATATGTACTCACAAGGATTGTATTTACCTTATAGACTAATGATTTGTACAGACAAGGATTGTATTTGCCTTATAGACTGATGATATGTACAGACAAGGATTGTATTTACCTTATACACTAATGATTTGTACAGACAAGGATTGTATTTACCTTATACACTAATGGTATGTACAGACAGGGATTGTTAGTACCTTATACACTAATTATATGTACAGACAAGGATTGTTAGATTGATCCAGGTTAATAAAACTTACAAAAGTTTTAAATTTTGACAAACCTGAAATCTACTTTTATGAAGGTTCCCATAGTATGAAAGGAACTGCAAGGTATATAAGTTGATACTTGGAACGACGTAATGTTTAATCGGCCAAGTAACGTTATTCTCAATGTCATTTTCTTTATTGCCTAATCTATGTAAATAGTCAAATTACTATGTCATTTATAGGTAAAGGGTTTAAAGAAAAGTATCAAATTACGTCAACCCTTACTTCTAGGGTCACGGCTGAACATAGTTCAATAAAACTTACCTGTCATTATCCTACATCAAATTATACATTGATTCTAAAGGTGTCCATGCTGTCTTAGATTATACAAAAGGTTTGTATTTAGTTGAAACAAATTTGGGAATTTTATTTCGAGAAACTTAAATGAGTTAATTGTCAACAATCCTTGTATGAATATTGGTTCATGTCCCAAATTGTATGCATTCACTAAGAAAAATATTTTTGTTACTTGGGCCACACAGTCCGTAACAAGCTTACATAAGTTCTGATTGTAACGAGGATCCGTTATTAACGGGGACCGTGACAGAAGTTGTAATGGGACCCGTGGCAGAAATTGTAACGGGGGCCGTGACAGAAGTTGAAACGGGGGCCGTGACAGAAGTTGTAACGGGGACCGTGACAGAAGTTGTAACGGGGACTATGACGGGACTGTGACAAAAGTTGTAATGGGGACCATGACAGAAGTTGTAACGAGGACTGTGACGGGACTATGACAGAGGTTGTAATGGGGACCATAACAGAAGTTGTAACGGGGACTGTGACGGGACTATGACAGAAGTTGTAACGGGGACTGTGAAAGAAGTTGTAACGGGGACCATGGCAGAAATTGTAACAGGGACCCTGACAGAAGTCGTAACGGGGACTGTGACGAGACTATGACAGAAGTTGTAAAGGGAACTGTGACGGGACTGTGACAGCTATTGTAATGGGGACCGTGGCAGAAGTTGTAACGGGGACCCTGCCAGAGGTTATAACGAGGACTGTGACAGAAGTTGTAACAGGGAGCCTGGCAGAAGTTGTAACAGGGACCCTGACAGAAGTTGTAACGGGGACTGTGACGGGTTTCTGACAGAAGTTGTAACAGGGAGCCTGGCAGAAGTTGTAACAAGGATCCTGACAGAAGTTGTAACGGGGACTATAACAGGACAGTGACAGAAGTTGTAACGGGGACCCTGACACTAGTTGTAACGGGGACCGTGGCAGAAGTTTTTAAGGGGACCCTGACAGAATTTGTAACGGGGACTGTGACGGGACTGTGACAGAAGTTGTAACGGGGACCGTGGCAGAAGTTGTAACGGGAACACTGGCAGAAGTTGTAACGGGGACTATGACGGGACTGTGAGAGAAATTGTAACGGGGATCCTGACCCTGGTTGTAACGGGGACTTTGACAGAAGTCGTAACGGGGACTCTTACGGGACTGTGACAGAATATGTAACAGGGACTGTGAAGGGACCATGGCAGAGGTTGTAACGGGGACTGTAACGGGTACTGTGACAGAAGTTGTAACGGGGATCCTGGTAGAAGTTGTAAAGGGGACTGTGACGTGACCCTGACAGAAGTTGTAACAGGGACTGTGACGGGACTGTGACAGAAGTTGTAACCGGGATCCTGGCAGAAGTCGTTACGGGGACCATGAGAAAGTTGTAACTGGGACCGTGACAGAAGTCCCCAAACTGCCCTCGCATATGATGCTTTGTTAAAAATTGGAGCAAAATTAGAAAAAGAGAGGGACCATTGGCAACATCTTTGCGTACCCCGTTAGTTAATCAATCAATTATAGGTCACGGTAGCCATGTTTAATGACAATGTAACGCATATTTACACATGCAAAACCATGCCCATGTGAAGATGTGTAAGCATTGGGCAAATAGTTCCTGAGAAAAAGGAAGAAGAAAAAGAAAAAGAACAAATAATAATAAAGAACATAGCCAAATCAGTAAGTCTCTCACTTTTTTTAGGGGACAATATCACTGATGCTGAACTATAATAATGTGACATTGCTATGGTAAGCCAATTGATCATTTAATCCAGAAGTAATATGGTATCGTATAACTATCTAAGATATCTAACATACAATAGAGATATC